TCTGGGTATGTGTTATACGAGGTCTGATACAGTATTGCCAAATTTGGTAATTTTATCATGAGTCTTGTGACATTTGGTGTTTTTCTTAAAGCGCTCACTCTTACATTCAAGTGATTACTTAAAATCTCAGTTTTCATTTAAATAAAAAAGAAATTTTCTAGCCCTCATGGTTATAGGGAAAAACATGAAAATGTAATCTAAATGTAACTTAATGGTGCAAGATCCGAATGCAAATAAAAATCTCAAAACTTTTATTGTTTTGTAAAAGTCTCATGCTTTTTAAGGAAAAAAAGCGATGAATTGAGTTGATGACTGTTGATGAGTGAGGAACTTGAAGTGATTTGTCTCATCATAATGTTAAAGAGAGGCAACACTTACCACAGAACAATATTTCAAAACCAAAAAGGGGAATTAAGACCAAGTGATATGTTGCTTGTTACATTTGAGTTTCAGGGTGATAAAGACTGAACAATGTTTCTTACTGGACAATGAAGTGCTGTGCTATAAAACTGTAATTTTGCAAAGACTGCTAGGGCAAGGACAACCTACACAAAGACAATTCTAACTTATGGGCAGGAGCTCTTGGCAATACAGGGGGATGACAGACTCTTGTACCTGTAAGTGTCAGATAAATTTGTCAATTATCTTTCAAGGAAAATCTATTCAGAAGATTTTAGGCCTGAGTAGAGTAAGGAGGCTTCACCAGTTAAACTAGCAGATTATCAGTCCCCAGGCATGGTCCATTGTCAGTGCTGATTCTTTTAGACCTGTCAGCAGCCCCAAGACATTGTTAACCCACCTGCAGACTCTGCAGTGGTGGACACAATTACTTTTCAGTAGCTTCATTCTTTCCTCTGGGAGAGATCCCAGAGGTTGTTTTCGGCAATTGCTCACCTGTCTCAAGGGTTCTTTTAAGCAAGGTTCCATATGGTTCTGGCTTGTCACCTTTCATGTTCATCATGTACATGAGGCCACTGGAGCAGACAGTGGAGCAGTTTGGACTGCAGAGCATTCAACATGCTGCCTTCTTCATCAGATCTGAATGGTTGCAATTTCTTTTTTTCCTAGTCCCCAGCTAAGGTAGACAGATAGAGTTGAGGGAACTGGCTGAAGCTCAGAGGTTAAAGTAGATTGAAACAGAAGATGGCGCTCTTACTGCACCAGCTAAGGAGAAGGGGAGCTCTGGGGGCTTGTTAGGCTATTTCTACACAGCAACTAGACACCCGTGGCTGACCCATGCCAGCTGACTTGGACTCACGGGTCTTGGATTTACAGGGCTGTTTCATTGCTGTATGTAGATGTCTGGGCTCGGGCTGGAGCCCAGGCTCTAGGACCCTACGAGGTGTGAGGGTCCCAGAGCTCAGGCTCCAGCCTGACCCCAGAAGTCTACACAGCAATGAAATAGCCCTGCAGCCTGAGCCCCGTGAGCCTTAGACAGCTGGCACAGGCCAGCCACGAGTTTTTCTTTGCTGTGTGGACATACCTTTACCTATCACACCCTGAGTGGGGAGGGAGCTTCCCTCTAGTTTTAGCACAAGAGAGAGAGAGCTGCGCTTTTCTCTGTTTCCCCTCTCTAACTCCTGGGTTCCATCCAGATAAGAGGTAAAGCTGGAGGTTGGGCAGGCATTGAGAAGATCTGGTGGGAGTGGTCTATACTATATGTATCTAACTATATGGAAGATAAATAAATATAATTGACTCACTTATTATAAATATCGCAAAAGAAGGAAATTTTCAGGAAGTATTCAAAATGACTAGAGATGTTGGTTAAGTAGAGGGAGTCCATACATAAGAGAGAGCAAGCAAAAAGTTACCAAAACATTTGCTAGAGAAAGAGATGAGGGACATCAAGTCTTGCAGCCTTGGCAGAGCAAAAGAAGGTGGTGGTAACATAAGAGACAATGTCAGATACATAGAGAGATGGGTCTTCGAGGTGGGTACAAGAAGTTTAAATTTGATGTAATGGAGAGATTTTAAGAGAGAGAGTGACAAGGGTGAGGTCAATGAGCAAGGGAGATAGTTTCAGCTGCTGAATTCAGGAGGCACTCAGAGGAGATGATGTGAGTGTCAGGGATGATGGAGAGGAACATGTTACAGTAATCAAGATGGAAGATGATCAGGGCATGAAGGAGAGGTTTAGGTGTTGGGACAGAGTGGAATGGTCAGATCTTTAAGAAAGGGTGGAAGAAGAAACAGTAACATTTGGATGCAGCCTTAGAGGGGAAGGTAGAGTGAGAGGGAGGAATTCAAGATGACTCCCAGGTTATGAGACTGAGTGGCAAGGAAAAAGGTATCCTTAATGTCAATGACAGAGAAAAATGGAGAGTAGAGAGGATTTATGAGAGAAAATAAGGAGCTTAATTTTGGCCATGGTAATTTAACCATTTTGTTTGTTGGCAAGTCATCCAGGAAGGGATATCAGAGATAAAGTCTGAGAATCTGGATTGGACAGAAGGAGACAGGTCTGGAATTTCAGAGGTAGATTTGCAAATGATCAGATAGTGATGATAAGGAAGTATTTTTTGACAAATATTACTTTTTAAAAATAAACTGTGGTGTGATATTACACCCCTCAGAAACAAATATAGGTGGATTCTTTTAATAAGCAACATGATTCTAAATTAATGTCATATTTAATCTATTAAAATTAAAGCACTTAAACATTGGGACAAAACCTAGTTTCACTCACACCTGTTCAACACCACTAACTTCTATGGATTACAGGGGTTAACAAGAACAGAATTTGGCCTGTGAATTTTCCTCATGTCATTCCTCATTTTATTAATTTGTCCTATAATCTGCTCTTGACTACTTTCATCCTTAGTTCAGATTGTGATTTAATGCTTCTTACTCTGTACTTTTCACATTGATCTCTGGCTGCTGTAATGGCCCTTTGGGGCTGCTAGCAGCTTGTGCAGGTTAAAGCAGCTGGTCCAAAACTGGGGAGTGCAAAAGTGGTTTAAAGCCACCTTTACATCCTCTCACTCCTCAAACTGCATAGGGACTATCTATAGAGAAAAATACTACTCAACCATAATAAAGATGGTAAAATTTGGCCCTGAGTTAGCATCTTCCTTCTTAATTTCAGTGTAAGCTTAATATAATATAATAGCCATGCTACAGGGTTCCCTTTAGAACATTGAAAGCTTTAATCTTTGCATAAGTTTAACAATGGATAAAGTTAACATTCTCAATATGGAATGCTTAATAAACAGAATCTTATATTTCACTTTCTGGGGAATAGGAGATTTATGTACACAACTGCTGGAGAGCTAATTCTCAGCAAGACCAATGTTTCTGATTCATAGGGAAGTTACTTTGAAATAGCTAGGATGTGAATTTAAAGCACAATAGCTATTCTGTACTAATGCCCTATGTGGACACTCTTATTCTATCAGAGTGGTAGCTGTGTTAGTCTGTATCCACAAAAACAATGCGGCGTCCAGTGGCACCTTAAAGACTAATAGATTTATTTGGGCATAAGCTTTCATGGGTAAAACACCCACTTCTTAAGATGCCCGCAGTGAAAATTATAGATACAGGCATAAATATATATTGGCACATGAAGAGCAGGGAGTTACCTTAAAAGTGGAGAACCAATGTTGAAGGTCAATTAGTCAGGGTGGATGTGGTCCACTCCCAATAATTGATGAGGAGGTGTCAATACCAGAGAGGGAAAATTGCTTTTGTAGTGAGCCAGATACTCCCAGTCCCTATTCAAGCCCAAACTGATGGTGTTAAGTTTGCAAATTAATTGTAGCTCTGCAGTTTCTCTTTGAAGTCTGTTTTTGAAGTTTTTTTTGTTGAAGAATGGCTACTTTTAAATCTGTTATTGAATGTCCAGGGAGATTGAAGTGTTCTCCTACTGGCTTTTGTGTGTTACCATTCCTGATGTCTGATTTGTGTCCATTCATCCTTTTACGTAGAGATTGTCTGGTTTGGCCAATGTACATGGCAGAGGGGCATTGCTGGCACATGATGGCATATATCACAGACGTGCAGGTGAATGAGCCTGTGTGGTGTGGCTGGTGTGGTTGGGGCCTATGATGGTGTCACTAGAGTAGATATGGGGACAGAAAAGGCAACAGGGTGTGTTACAGGGATTGGTTCCTGGGTTAGTGTTTCTGTGGTGTAGTGTGTAGTTGCTGGTGAATATTTGCTTCAGGTTGTGGGGCTGTGTGTAAGTGAGGATTGGCCTGCCTCCCAAGGCCTGTGAGAATAGGGGATGGTTTTCCAGGATAGGTTGTAGATCTTATTCTGTACCAAGAGCCCTTTTATGATTTAAATTAATCTACTTCCAAAGTGTGTGGAATAAAAGTATCCACACAGGGAGTTAGTGCAGAATAGCTATTTAGTAACACTGAACAGCTATTCCACACTGAGCTTCTGCCTTGTGTAAAAGAGCCCTTACAAGAATGCAATCCCTTGACTTCAGGGGGATTACAGAGACTGTAAATGAGTGCAGAAGTTGACCCAAAGAGAACAGTTAAAAAAGCTGAGGAACATTTTCACTTCAACATGTTGCACTTAGGTAATCAACAATGTCCAGTTTATTTAGTAACCTAACCAGTGCAGAAACAGTTTAACACCATATCGTTCGTTGTAACTCCAGAGTAAAAATTGTTCTCAGTGTTATTGTATCATGCGCTGCTAGTAGTAGTTTCTACCAAGAAAGCGGAGGGTACCTCATTTCCTTTCTAAGGTACAACAGCATTTCTATAGGGGCTCTGCTTCTGAAATGATAACCTAAGCCAGGACACACAGTCCCAACTGAGTCTAGTCACACACAAGCTGTAGTGTCCGGAGCCCCTCACAACCTCTCCTTGCCTGGCGCAAAGTGGGGAGCATTTGTAACCTGGCTAATAGCTCCACAACTCCCAGCTCCCAAAGGTCTAGCACTAAGAACTGGCCACACCCCTTGTGCGGTGATACCCCCTACCCTTCCCCCGCCCGTTGGCCAATGAAAGCACTGTTTTCTTGGAAGGGTTGCTATTGGTGAATTCCCCTATCGCTTCTAACGAACGCTAGGATTGGCCGCCGTGAAGCTGTCTGCAAAAGGCGGCATCAAGCAAAAACCGCACTCTTGGAGCCCTGGAACCGGCCGCCGCTGCTGCTGCTCTGCCTGTGAGTGAGTGGGAGATTCCACCCCCGCCACGTACCCCGGCCGGGTTCCCGCCACGGGCTGTCGCTGAATGGCGTTTAATGGGCCACCCCACCGCCAGGGCTGAGCGCGGTTTGGGGGGGGGTGGCGCCTCCTCTCTCAGGGCAGCTTTCCCGCCGAGCGCCCGGCGCGGCCTGCCTCCACTGGCCCTGGCTGGCTCCCCGGCTCGGGGAGGGAGGGAGGGAGGGGGCGCTTCTGTTCGGGGCTGCCTGTGAGTTTCCTGCCCCCGCTGGCCTGTGGCTCCTGGGCTTTGGCCCTAAGGGGCCCATTCTTGGCCCGCTGACCCGGCCCTGAGCTCGGTTTCAAAGTACTGACCTGTCGGCTCCCGCCTCCCCGTGCCTAGGGCCCGACAGTGCTCGCTGAGGGGCGTGCACAGCTCTGCAGCTTGCGGGTGAAACGCCGGAAGGAGCGGGGCCAACGTGCGGACTGGTCACCTGCTTCGCGCAGGGCGTCGGGGATGGAGGCTGAGTTTCGGGGGAGCCCTCGCTGCTGTAATTTGCAATCCGCGCCTCCTACAGACACACAGCCAGACGCTCTCCCCTCCCTCGTTCTCTCGAGAGTCTCGTCTCTCTTTCTTGGTCCCAACTTCACTAATGTGTAACTTGTACACTTCTTCCACATAACCCTGAACTTGGGTTCTCCTCTGCACAGTGATAAGCATTTTGATGGTCATTTCTTTTGGGCAATATCTGTTGAGGAGCAGAAGCCTTTTGAATACCAGTTTTGGCAAACTAGCCTCACTTTTTGTTCTAAACATAATCAATATCAATATTAAGAAGTCTTAGCCTAAAGAGCCACTTCCCCTTTTATTTATTCAATAAATCTTAGAAAACATGACAATATGTTTTATTTCTTCAGAAAAAAGTAGAATACTAAATTTTCTGTATAGCTATTGGACAGCATTTCTGCTCACTCGTTTGAGAAATAGTTTGCACATCATGTACAAACTAAATGACAAAGTTTAAGGTAGCTTATGCTCAGTTTTTAATATTTATGCATTCAGGCTGCAGTTTAAATGCAGTGGAAAGCATGTATTTGACCAGGAGTCTTGCTACAAGGGAGCTACCTTGTAAAGTTAACCTGCTTTGACAACTCTCAGATGTTTTTCTTTTATCTAGAAGTACTGACATATTGTTGCTCAAACACTGATTATGGAGATAAGATTTATACACTTTGTACTGTAAGAGAAGGCTTATTTGCTTAGTAGGGGAAAATGTGAAATAATATCAACTTAAAGCATTAGCAGAATTGTGCAATAATTATCAGAATTGTGCCTGCATATCTTGTTTGTGATATGCCAAGCACAAAAAAGATGATATCCTGTTTATTGTAGTTTGGTGTAGGGCAAAGCAGTATCAAGGGAATTTTGTGGCATTTCAGTGTTTTTTGCAGTGCTTATTCCTCAGTTTTGAGCCAGAGATGAGTTGACCCTTCTAAAGGGGTTACTGATTCTCTAAGGATTCTCTCTGTTCCCACATATTTTATTTCTTAGAAAGTGATCATGTAATTAAAGAACTATATCATAATGCATATGCACAACAGTGCCCAATTAAAGTAGCACCCGCAATCTTAATTTAGGTATTTCCTAACTTTTGAGTGCTTGATCTTGCAACCACAGTAATGTTCTTTAAATGTAAATATGTGTAATTTCCCAGGGTGCTAAATAAGGAAATTACCTCTTGAGCTAATGGAGTAACTGGTAGGAGTGGTAGTAGGTTGTCCTCTATATGGAGCAGTGCTAGACGAGGATGGAAAACTTTGCCATTTTGTTTCACAGATGTTTGTTGACAGCAAAGGAGTGATGGCACTCAGGAATCTTGTGTTCCATTCCAGGCTCAAGAGGGCAGTGTACTCTAGTGAGCACTGGCCCAGACTCTTCTTTCCTCCAAACATGATCCCTTCTGCCCCATCTCTTTCAGCCTCTGCCTGTCCCAGCCCTTTCTGTGCCCCACTCATAAATCCTCATCTCAGTCCCATTCTCCTTACGATAGTCTCCAATCCTCAAACTTCTCATCCCAGTCTCTTTACCCAGAAAAGTTGCAGTCTCAACCCCCCGCCCTGCCAACTCTGTCTCCTTGGGTGTCTGTTTCCAGTCTCTTCTCTCCCCACCCCCCCCAACAACAGCTCCTTGTCCCCAGTTTTCTTGCCCCACCAGTTTCAGTTCCCCCTACTTACTCCTGGCACCTCATCTGATCTGCCCCCTCCCCTCCAATGTTCCCTATCCCTACTGGCTCCCAGTCCCCAGACTCATCCAATCTCAGCTTCCCCACCCACTTTGTTGCATCCCCCCCACACCTTGTCCCAGTTCTTCTCTGGCTCCTCATCATATCTGTCACCCCTCTTCCTGTCCCACATGTCCCCAATCTCCTTCAACCTGCCCCAACTCCCCCTCCTCCCGCCTTGTCCCAATCTACTCCCCACACCCCGGTCCAGCTGTTTCATTTGCATTCAAATCATGCATCTTCCTCATCCAGCGGGGAGGGATGTTCCCTCAGTGCAGAGGGATGGGATCCTTGTCCTGCTCTCAGTTCATGTGCTCCAACCTGGCATGACCTGCAGCAGCCAAGAGCTGCAATTGCAGGGAAAGTCCTGCTCAGCGCTGGGCTGGAGCATGTCTGGTGCAGATGAAAGCTTCAGGGAATTTAGGTGCTAAAATCTAAGATGTCTTTAGTGACCATGTGCAAACTCCTACCGTGGCCAAATGTGGGCAGACTTTCACTGAGACAGCAAAAGGCACATCCCTGATACAAAGGCCCTGCCAGATTTCAAGTCTGGCTGCAAAGCATGGGGACACTAGAAATTTTTAAAGAAAAAGTCACCAACATTTAACATTGAGAAAATAATGTATTTTATCCACAGCCTTGCTCTTAGAAATGGCTGAACTGCATTGGTTGGCATTTTCCAGAAAACATCAGCCTGAGGCAAACACCTGGCATAGAAAATTTCAGCCCAAACAGCTAAAATTTGGCAAAGATATAAACTGAAAACAGGGTCTTATTATGGGAAGCATCTGGCAACCTTAATAATTGGTGGGCCTGGTAGCACTCTTTGGAATATTAGTAACAGTGTTTGTTTTCCCATATCCAAGAGTCTGTGTTTGTCTTGTTTTACTTCACCAAGTAGGCCTACCAGTTTCTCAGAGTATGTCTACACTGCCCACCTTGCAGCGCTGTGACGTGGGCAGTGTAGTCACTTTTTATCGCTGGGCGAGAGCTCTCCCAAGATAAAAAAAAATATATATATATAAAACCATCCCGAATAAGGGGTGATAGCTTCTTCGCCAGAAGACGTGGCACTGTCTATACTGGCACTTTTCAGTGCTAAAACTTTTGTTGCTCAGAGGTGTGTTTTTTTCACACCCCTGAATGACTAAAGTTTTAGTGCTGAAAGTGGCAGTGTAGACACAACCTCAGTTGTGTATCCTAATATGCCACAGAGTTTCAGTCTCCCCAAAATCTAGAAGGAGGTAGATTAAAACAGTTTATTTCATTTTTGGGGATGGAGAATTTTGATTTGTCACTCATTTCCTTCTGTATTTTTGCTGTTACATTCTGTAACAGGATTTTTGTTGATTAATGTGTTACTTGCTCCCCCTCTGTTTGCCACAAGCTGGGAACCAGCAACAGGGAATGGATCACTTGATGATTACCTGTTCTGTTCATTCCCTCTGGGGCACCTGGCATTGGCCACGGTCAGAAGACAGAATACTGGGCTAGATGGACCTTTGGTCTGACCCAGTATGGCAGTTCTTATGTTCTTTCTGTAGATCCTGGCGTACATATGGATTTTTGTGCGTTAGTGTTTCTCTTCCTTCTAAAGAAGGATTTGGGAGAAGGGTAATGCTATGTGTTAGTGAAGAAACACTCTGGGGATGGAAGGGAATGATTTGCATATTAATGTTCAGCTTCCTCCCTTGCTATTGATGAGGATTTGATTTGTGTTAGTCTCTCACTCTCTGAGATTGTGGGAGGGATTTCACTATCAGTGGATTGTAAGGGACTTCCCAAACTTAATGTCCTCTCCCTTAATCTTGTGGAGGGAGAATGGGAGCAAGCAGGCCTAAGGCATTCTCTCTTAGACCACATTAGTCATTGTCCTCATAGACCTTGTATTTTACTTTGTTAGTTTTGTGATGGAAGCATCCTTGAACGCTTATCGAGATGAACAACCTCCTTTGCAGGCTGAAAATTTCTGTAGGAAACATGAAAAGAACAGCAAGTTGTCAGGTATGTATTTTAGAGCAGAGGCCGTTGATTAAAATGTTGTTGCCATGTTTCTCTTCCCCTTCACTTTAGACTCTCCACTACTGTATATATGTATTGGATAAGATCCTGTTACACGAAGAATACATGTAACAAGATTTGAGAGGAAAAGCTTTAACAAAAAGTTCAATGTTCAGGGGCTTTGAATTGATATTTCCAGGCTTGTTTCTGCCCAGTATGTAGTTGCAGTATTCTAATAGGATCAGTGAATTGTAAAAGAATAGTGCTATGAAATTTGTTACTATTATAATATATTCTAAAATTATGTCCTGAGCTCGCTATTTTCCTTGCTGAATAATATTTATGTCAAGTATCAGAGGGGTAGCCATGTTAGTCTGTATCCACAAAAACAATGAGGAGTCCAGTGGCACCTTAAAGACTAAAAGATTTATTTGGGCATAAGCTTTCGAGGGTTAAAAACCTCACTTCTTCAGATGCAACTTGCATCTGAAGAAGTGGGGGTTTTAACCCATGAAAGCTTATGCCCAAATAAATATTTATGAAGACTTCCATATTGATAGCCCTTGAGATCAGTCCTCTAGCCAAAGACCAGAGACACAGTGCTACTTCTCCAGTGTACCTCAGGATGTGTCTCAGCCTCGTCCTTCAGAGGTGAGAAAATGGCCTTAACCCTCAGTTATTTCCTATAAATTGGCTACCCACCTGTAATTATGGTGACTTCGGGTCACTATTGTCTTGGCAGGATTTGAACACATTGTCAATCCTCTGCACAGTCGTGTAATTTGCATCCCATTGCAACAATGGGGAAGTTCCATCCCACCCCCAGGAGAGGACAGGTGATGATTGCACCCATTGGGGCAACCATAGTTTGTTGCCAAGGCTCTGCAGGATCCCCAACAGCAGAGACTGTGTTGAATTAGTGCATTCTCTGAGCATTCTGGCCACATTGCCTCCTTGGCTAATGCCACCCACTTTGGTGTCTGTGCTATCTAGCTGCAGGTCCTCGGGTGAAGTGAGCTGTGTCTGGACAGACTTCTGCCAGTGGGAGCTGGCAAAGACTCTAGATGAAATTGAGTCAGTTGAGTGGATTCTCTGTCTAGCATTTGTTTAGAAGAGCATTGGCACTAAATGAAGGGCTGCATTGGGCCCATTAGGCTGGTGGCACAAAGTAAACCAAAGCTGGAGATTGCATGAAGGGTACAGGGCTACTGATTTTAGAGACTTTAAAAGATATGTTGTCACCTGAGACCAACTTATTTTATTTAAGGCATGGCCCTCCACTCTGTGCTGTTTAAGAATGCTTTCTGACAGAGTTGGGGCTTTTCTTCTAAGCTATGGACTTTTTTGAAGCAATCCTGTGACCAAAGAGGCTTCCTATAAGAAATTACCCCTCAATACTTTTTTTTAGTAAAGCTCTGAAAGATAGAAGATTCTTTACTAGCACAGCAAGATGCAGGGCTCAGAAAAAATTTTTAGACTTGCTTCAGCTGGAGCAGGATATGAGCAACCTTGTACTAAAAACTGTTTTATTTCAATAGAACTTACCATATCAGTTACAGAGACAACTGAGGAGGGATATGATAGGTCTATGAAATCATGAATGGTGTGGAGAAAGTGAATAAGTGTTGTTTAGCTTTTCATATAACATAAGAACCAGGTGTTACCCAATGTAAATAATAGACAGCAGGCTTAAACAAATGTAAGGAAGTACTTCCTCATACAATGCACAGTCACCTTTGGATCTCGTGGCCAGGGGCTGTTGTGAAAGTCGAAAGTATAACAGTTCAAAGAAGACTTAAGTAAGTTCATGGAGGATCGGTTCATCAATGGCTATTAGCTAGAGATGGTCAGGTATGCAACCTTGTCCTCTGGGTGTCTCTAAACCTCTGACTGCCAGAAGCTGGGACTGGATGATGGGATGGATAACTCGCTAATTGTCCTGCCACGTTCATTCCCTCTGAAGCATCTGGCACTAGCCACTGTCGGAAGACCGGATACTGGGCTAGAAGGACCATTGGTCTGACCCAGCGTGCCCATTCTTACGCTTTCAGAAGTCAGAAAACCTGACGACGACTCCTGTTCTCACTTGCGATGCTCAGCCTTATGGTTACTAGCCTTCCGATTTCATTTATCAGTATAGGACCTTCTTCAGAACACAGTAATGTAACTGTCATTGGGTGGTGCAAGAATGTTATTTATTTACCCCGCAGTCTTTACAGTTCTGTCTTGAATGGCATTTATAGGGTCTCCTCTCTTATTATCTTTGGCAGGTCAGATACAAAAATCAATATTGTTTTAAAAAACCCTGATTTTTGTATTTAAATACAGGTCTATTCTAAATTAGATTTGAAATAAACAACCTATGTTAGGACCTAAGTTGCTTATAATTTATAAATCATTTAAATTAAGTACAAAAAATATTAAGCAGTGCATATTTGCTGCCAAGTTTTAAAGAAGGTCAAAGCACTGCACTGCTGGAAGTCACTGGCTAAGCATCTGGAACCAGAGGTTGTGGAAGTGCTAAATCAGCTTTTGACAGCAGTAGCCTCCTCTGCAGGTGTAGAAAGAATATTTTCTTCATTTCAATTTATTCAAATAGTTCAGGTCAATGACTAGTTTGTTCAATACCTCCTTTGTTTAATAAAGCAATTAGTTTTAAATGCAAAAACACATGTTGATACTTTTGTCTCCAGCACATTTAGTTTTATTTAATAACAAAAAGTTCTGTTTTGAGCATTTAATTGAATGTGACAATTTTCTTTCAAATATGGCATGACACAAATCAAGTTTAAAAAAAACTAAGAAATGCATCACACACTGTTTTCTAATGTAATAAAAATGTAAAAATTAAGAATCTGACTAGATGTATGTTAAGCTACATAATTGCTTAAATAAACGTGGTTTATACTCCTGATAGCAAAAATAAACACCAAAGTTAGGAGATAAGGTATATTTAGTTGCAAAAAAACATGTTTTAATAGTTACCAACTAATGAGAATCAACGTTTTTTTAGGAAAATATCTGAAAAGTACAAATGCAGAATATGATTAAAATAGATCATTTTAAAGCCAGGTTCTGTGCTTGCTGATTAAAATCAGTGATTTAAATCATTCACCCTGATTTTTGACCACTTGGGAATAGCAAACATCCTTTAAAATGGACAGTATCACATGAAAGTCTCTAATCTGTATTTGTCATTGTATTTACCTGGGAAACGATACAAACATGGACAATATTATTTTGAAGACTGTTCCATTCATATGGTGTTGAGAATTGTTCATTTGTCATTGTTGGCCAAAGTGATCTGATTGTAGGATTAAGAAAAAATATCAAATGCCAAACACCATCTTAAATATTTGTTTTGTGTTAAAGTGAGGTTGTGTGTGTGGGTGGGGGGGGGGGCGAGGGAAGTATTGGGGTAAATGGTTATGGCTTTGCATCATTTGTAGTCAAAAACAGTAATTGGGTGAATGGTGGATGTGCATTTTCACTAAAAGCTAGAAAACCCACATACATGTGGATGTTTTCTCAATGTGTTTGCTTTCTATTAAGCGTCTGAAAATATTTGTGTGGTGTCAGAACTTTTTAAAAAAATCAAACTTCTAAGGACTTCCCAAGATTCTTAGAACACAATTAAGTTTTCATTTTGTGAAAATGACAAAAATGAATACATTTGCCATGACTTTTACTGTACAAATAAAGCAAAATTAAGAAATAACACTTAGCGAGAAAACAAATGTGTTGTAATTGTGTTTAATATACTGTATAACTGCTTAATAAAAGCTTTTGCTTGTTACTGTCAGTTTCTACCACAGGTGCAGATATGTGCTATTAATATTTGAAACATTAACTTATGTCGTTGATGTAGCAGAGTGTACATTTCTGAATTCTTCTTTTTGTTAGTCAAAGCAAAAACTTTGACATGAACAGTAAGATCTTACCAGAGGTTATTCCTCATCAGTTCTAAAATAACATACCTAGCTTACAAAGTCCCCAGTTTACCATGCCTCATAGGATTCAGGAGTGGCCAGGATGCTGAGCTGCATTGCTTAACTCAGCGTCTTGTGCAATTAGGCCCTCTCTACTCTGAGTACTCCTGGGGGAATTCTGCACCAAATTTTTTTAAAAGTCTGTGTACATTTTAAAATTCTGCGTATTTTATTTGTCAAAATAACGCAATATAATCACTCTGGTTTCAATTATTTTGGTAATTTATTTAAACTAAAATACAATGGATGGAAAATGGGAGTGGAGAGCATTGGAGGAAATTCCTAAAGCCCCTTGCCTAATAGTAATGTTGTTAGGTTTGACCCTTTATTTCTAGTTATTAGTCAACAAATATATGCAGCCATATGCTCAGTGTTACATTATAGGCAACTGAAGAGCAAGTGAGGGCAGGGGAATCAAACTCACGATTTATATTGGCTACTGAACATCTCCAGAAAGGTTAGTAGCAAACAGTTCATGGAGCACGTTTTGATAGGAATTTTTTCAGTTCAAAAATTTAGACCAGTTCTAATCATGAAAGCACCATAAGCATTTATAGTGCCATACTGTCCTTTACACACCTCTGGCAATGTGAAGGAGCCTTAAAACTTTGACACCTGTTTTATACTCCTGGGGGAATTCACAAAGACAATGGGAACAATTTACTAAGCAGGCAGGCTGCTACATTCAGCTCTGCCTGAAGGAACAGAACTTACCCCATGCCTACCTCCTCAGAAACACCCTGAAACTCTGTCCCTCCACACCGAGAGTGCTGCAATAGTGAGTGAGGGATAGTGTGTGTCTTTCACTTGCCTGACTACCCAACTCCCCCCTGCCAGTGGTGATTTATGTCTCTGTTGACTGCTCCGGGCACCTGAGCCAAACTGCCTGTGCTGCCGGGGAGAGGCTCATGACCGCTCTTGCAGTTTCCCTTTGCTTTCCCGTCAGAAGTAATTTTTCTGCGGGGAAGCAAAGAAATCGGCAGTGGACATGAATTCTGTGCAGGCGCAGTGACACAAAATTCCCCCAGGAGTATACTCTACAATTAGTCACTGAAACACTTCAAAACAAGTATTATAGGGTGAAAAAAGATCTGATGCACCTTTGCCTGCCCAGTACCAACCAGTGGCAGACACTTTAAATGTTAGGAGTTTTTAAAAAATAACTTTAACATTAATTTTATTTTGCAGTGTGGACACAAGCTTGGAAAGGCTGGATGGGTAACAACTATTAATGAGCATATTTTAAAAGAAGGAAGAGACTTGGCAGTGGGGGAAGATGAGGAAGAATGATGATATGAAATACACAGTGTGGGGGCAGTAACCTTCAGCAGTTTAATATGTATTTTTTTTTGTAATTAACTTTCAACTAAAATTTATTTTAAAACTCTAATGGGGACTTCTGACATCTGTTTTCAGGTTCTTGAAAGGAGGGAAAGGATTCAAGAGTCACATTTCAGTCTTCTGTTTATATTGCAGCACTGAAATTTGTTCGTTTGAGAATATATAAACAGAGTACATGCCTATTGTAATCTTTCTGGTATTATGACTGTTTATAAATTGATTTTCATTGTTCATGATATTTGTTACATCAGTGCTTACTGTGCTTCTTTTGTATAATATATAATCCTAGTTTAAACTTTTTGCTATTGTATGTGTTAATTTGGGCATGATTTTCCCTCTCTCTTTTTAGTATGTATAATTCGTATGAGTTTAGCTCCTACCAAATACATCATCATTTTTATTATGTGAAAACAATGCAAACCATTCTTGAAAACATCTATTGTAGGAACATTTTACCCTTGCTGCAGTAATTAGCCACAAACTCTATAAAAGTATGGGCCAATGACTTTTTGGTTCTCACTACTCTGAAATATCAGGCCCTCTGTCTAGGTGTCTAAATATGGACTTAGGAGTCAAACACTAGTGTTACAGCAGTTGATAAAGGGTGACACTAGTTGAGCCCAACCATTGTAAAATGTTTCAACTTTAAATGTAACTTGCCTTGTGTATATTTTCATATGCTTTATGTTTTAAGGCTTTATAGTATTTTAGCAGTACTGTAATGGTTTATTGTTTCATGACAATAGTTAGAACATCTAATAAGACAGCATAACAAATTAGAATTTCTCTGTAAATTTCAAAAGAAGTGCTTTTTTTAGAAGGCATTCATGCGTCCTCTAATAAATAATTTTCTAAAATAACAAGGGCCCACCCTTTGAGTGAAATTCCTTAGTTTTCCAATAAGAATGCGGTATCCTTGCTATGCCATCTAGTGATTGGAGTATAAAATGCAACAATTTCAATATAATCAGCAAGGCTTTTTTTGAATATTTTTTAACAGCCCTCCAATGATGATATACGAGTTTATCTTCCTAATACTTTCCTTTTTAAACCCTTTTCTTTGTTTTGTAGTCTTTGGAGTTTACCTCTTACATACCCATTTCTCAGTAGCCAGTGTAGATTTGTCTTTTATGAAATGGTGACATTACTAACTCCATGTGTATTTTAGTCTCTGAACTATAATCTGAGATCCTATTAATTTTGAGGGTTGGCCATGCTGTGCTGAGTGGCAACAATTTAAGAGTTTTAAACAAAACATTGTAGCAGCATATAAATTAGAGTGTGATAGATGGGGCATTACTGTTGGCATTCCGTTAGCAGTTATGTCAGGAAGGGCAGAGTTTAATGCCCCTCTCATTTGGGTTTTTCCATGAAGGTGGATCAGAGACATAAAATTTAATCAATAGAGGTCTGGACCAAAAAATAAATAAATTAAGGCAAAGGTGGATATTCATGGATCATGAGTCTCAAGCCAAAAAAAGTTAAACTCTTCGCAGATTACCTCAAACTGCACATTCTTTGATCATTTACAGTACAATATTTTTATGTGAGTGCCTCAGTTGCCTTGCACTATGCTAACTGGAATAGTCTTTACTACTCTTTTGCGATTTTGGGCACTAAACCTTGCAAGTGTGTTCATGTTTAACCTATGCACATGAGTGTTATCCAAATGTACCTGCATATGTCTTTGCAGGACCAGAGCCTCGGTTTGTTTTACACTACTTTTTATGTAATTTCACCCTCATTTATATGAATTGAAGTCTAATACATGTCCTGAAATTTAACTAGTAAACTGAGACCAAGCAAAACACTTTCTGTTTTCCTTTATTTCCTCAACAGGAGTAAAAATAGATATTGAAAAACTTTATGAAGCAGTGCCACAGCTTGTAAATGTGTTCAAAATTAAGGAAAAAATTGGAGAAGGTAAGTGTATTTATTTGCTTGAATTCTGATGTACTTAAGAAATACAAATTTTAAGAGTATACAACTATATAAGGAAGTCCAATATTGGCAAATTCTAGCATGACTGCCATTTTATGGATTGCTTTTTAGTATTGTTAGAAGTAAATGAGAGTTGTAATATTTAGTTGCAAGTACAAATGCTTGTAGATAGGGTTTTTCCAAAGAGATTTTCCTGCCAGATTCTTGAAACCTCTTACCAAAGTAGACTCTGATTAAATGTATCAGAGGGCAGGGGGGAGGGATAGCTCAGTGGTTTGAGCATTGGCCTGTTAAACCCAGGGTTGTGAGTTCAATACTTGAGGGGGCCACTTAGGGATCTGGGGCAAAATCAATACTTGGTCCTGTTAGTGAAGGCAGGGGGCTGGACTCGATGACCTTCCAAGGCCCCTTCCAGGTCTAGGAGATAGGTATATCTCCGTTAATTTATTTATTTAAACAGCTTGTTTTGATTTAGACCATGCAGTTTAAACTGCTATAGGGTGCTGCAGCTCTTGGAGTACATTTAGCCAAGCGTATCTACGTAAGATTTAATCCACCTATATTTGTCTCTAAGGTATACATTCTAAATATACAATTATACTCCGACATTTCACTACCAGTAAAGTTCTCTCTGCTTTTACAATATTAAACCTGATGGGTGGGGCTAAGAGAGGAAAACAGACTATTATTGCTAAGTTATTTTTAAAATATGGGCTCAAACTAGGCACACAGTAAAATTTTCAAAATTTGACAATGGGACTTAGGCCCCAATTCTGTGACCATGCACATGCTTAACTTTACTATGAGTAATCCCATTGAAATCAATGGGATTGCTCAGGGCAATAAAATTAAGCATATGTGTAAATATTTGCAGGATGGGAGCCTACACATTTTTGAAAATTTTGCCTGCAAGATCTTTGGTGAAAGTTTTTCACTAAACTTAATGTTTTGACTGTTCTTATATTTGAAAGTATATAAAGTAGATGTTTGATGATTTTTTTTTTAAAACAGCTATTTATGATTGTAATACTCGTGATAGCTTGCTAAATATTTAAAAACTTTCTAGTCTGTAAAGCTGCTTTAAAAGAGAGCTACATATTTAGTTCAGTACAGCAATCTGAAAGTTCAAGAGCATGGAATGCTTCTTGTCATGAACAAACAACCTTGTTTAATGACATTTTATTTTCATTTACAACTGTTTTTAACGCTGTCGATGGACGTGAATATGTTGCTAAAAAGTGACATTTGTGACACTGGCAATACTGAAGGCTTATATGTGTTTCCACTTGATGCGTTTCCACTTGCACTAAGTTAGGGTGTGGGGTCATATCCTCCCTTCAGTTTCTTTCCCCAAAAAGGCAAAGGTCTTGCTACTTAATAGTTAGTGATGTTATTCCTTTAGCTCAAGTGGAGGGGCCTGTGTTTTTGTTGCTGATAGTACTAGAGTTGATTCCTGCTGGCAACTGTGTTCTGTATATGCAACTACAGACTTGTTATGCTTGCATACTGGTTTAACATTTGCAATTGTAATAACTTTAAATTATATTTTATGGTCTATTAAGAAATGTTACTTATTTTGTACTTCCCAATTTCTGGACACTCATGGGTAATTTTCTTAATTTGTTTGATAACCCTGAAGTACTTAAGAGGCTTTCTGTACTAAAACCACTTTCCTCATGCTTTAGCCTAGACTTTAAAACCTATTGGTGTGTCACAAACTTAACTTGGCTCAAATAGATTCTCTTTCACCACAACTGCAGCAGTCAGACCAGTAACATGAAATACTTTAACGTAGCTAATCCAAAGCTGTTAAACATAGGCTTCATACTTTTACAGGTACTTTTAGTTCAGTTTATTTGGCCACAGCCCAGCTACAAGCAGGATGTGAGGAAAAAATGGCTTTGAAACACCTAATTCCAACTAGTCATCCTCTACGAATTGCTGCTGAACTTCAGTGCCTTACAATAGCAGGGTAGGTAGATACTTTTTTTTTTTTTTAGCAAAAGGAATTAAAGATGTGATAACTGAATTTAAGTGTCATCTAAAACTAAGTTGTGTCTAGTTACTTTTTAGTTTTGGTACTTCTTGCATTTTGCTGGAGTTTTGACCACAAGAAAATAAAAATCAATAACTCTATATCGAGGGCATACCATAAATGGATCATGTTAGCTATAATGCTCATGTTGCTTTATGCTAGTCTCAATTTGCAACTGACTTTGTATATGCTAGTAAAAAGTTCTAAGAGTTACACAGTATACATATGCAATCAAACATGTTTTAGGTAGGAAATGGCTATGATAGAATCCTCTCTAGTACATCTGAAAATACTGGCCAATGGCACTAAATTCTCTTCACTGGTTTAGGAATGGAGGTGCATTGCTGATATTTGCTGGTTCCAAGACAGATGGTCGGAATAGCTCTTACCTGACATTTTAAACCAGTTGCTCTCAAAGGGCTCAATCCTGGATCATGCAAATCCATGAGAGCAGACTCAAGCCCTAAAAGTGGGCCATGAAGCACCAATGGTCTGCAGAGCCCTTCGTTGCAAATTGAAGAATGAAACACTTTGAGAAAAGTAATGAGGGGATTGTGTTCAGAGTACATGCTGGTAGTTTGCCAGCAACCTAACACTGATGAACAGCCATACAATGTGGAATTTGTGTATTAATAGAAAAAGCATTGCTGAAGTTTTCTGTGGGAGCCAGGTGAAATAACCTGTTTTCTATTTGTTTCAAGATAGTATTTTATTTTTCCTTTAGGGGGCAGGATAACGTTATGGGAGTTAAATATTGCTTTAGAAAAAATGATCATGTAGTTATCGTTATGCCATATCTGGAACATGAATCCTTTTTGGTGAGTCACAGCCTTCTTTTTATATAAGCAGTAAAATATTTAATTATAAAGAGTTGCAAAATTACAATATTCAAATAATCTTTCAGGATGTTTTGAACTCTCTCTCTTTTGAAGAAGTACGAGAATACATGTTTAATCTGTTTAAAGCATTGAGGCGCATTCATCACTTTGGTATTGTTCACCGTGATGTCAAGCCCAGTAACTTCCTGTACAACAGGCGGCTGAAAGAGTAAGTCTACACACCTGACTTTTATTATGATCTCATTTGGGAATGTGTGCCTGGGCAGAACACAGTAAATTAAGTTTTTGGGTTTTTCCCTTCCAGCTATACAATATGGGATTAAGCAGTAGAAATAGGTTTATAAATTAATAAAATTTTTATTTAGAGTTTAGGGACTTGGTCAGGGTGGGAAAGAAGAAACAATATAGTAAGCATTAAAAAAGTTTGGATCACAAAACGGCAAATAATTTTTAAACTCAATGAGTAAAACTAGTAAAATTGTTGCATATTCGATAAGATTAAACTAAATAAAATCACTGTCCATTATTTACTTTAATATAGTTAATACTGACCTTTATTTGTATACTGCATAGGTTTTCAACCTGTTTGTGTCTTGCAGCACACCTCAAGTGTGCATAGCAAGAAAGTTGATGTTTGTTTTGGGGTTTGTTTTCTACAATTAGCTATTCCTAAAACTAGGTCAGGTTGTATTAATTATCTTTTGTCTGCAAGTAACTAAATTAAGGAAGCTAGTGTGATATTGTCCACCTTTTGCAAGGAGTTAATAGTTGCCTTCCTTTTGTTCGTGACTAGCTATATCCTCATGGCTTGGTATATATTTCACTACAGTCCATACAAGAGTAAGGTAAAACTTTATAGGGAAAACTGTCTTGCATCAATCTACACATCTCGAAATTCTGAGGAAGTAACTTTCTTAACTCTCAGAAGATGAATTTCTCCCATATTGCTTGTTTACTCTGCTACAATCATTTTAGAAAAGCATTCTATTGTTTCTGAAGAGTGTTTTATGAGATCTGATGTTGAGTCAACTGTTGCATGCATGAAACAAAATAGTGACTCAGAATGACTTTCCCATGGCAAGTAGTAAGCATTTATGTATGTATGTGCCACCAGCTTTCGTGGAACCAAAGTCTTCAATTTAAAAAAGTTGTAGTTCTCAATGTAATGGGGTCAGCACCCACATCTCATGAGCGCCCCCTCTGGTTGGGGGTGTCCACGGTCTTTAAACCAGTCCACCCCATATCCCCAAGGCCTCCTCCCTGGAGACACTGTCTTCCTGCAGCTGCCCCAGGCTCAGTCCCTGCAGCCAGCCAAGAGCGCCTTAATTGCTCCCCCGGTCCCTGCTAGCAGACTGTCTTTGGCTCAGTCCTAGCAGCCAGCCAGGAGCCTCTTGTTCCCCCAGTCCCTGCCCCTACTTAGCTGACCGTTGTGCTGCAGTTCCCTCAGTCAGCCAGGCATGCAGTCCTTTCTTCTCCAGTTCCAAGCAGCAACTGCCTTGTCTCTGGCTTTGTAGGTCCTTTTTATAGGGCCCTCCTGGGCCTTCATTGACTGCTTCTCTACCACCCCCCCCCCCCCGCAGCCACTCTAGCCTGCTTGGAGGACCTCTCCACTGCTCCTTTCCTGGGATAAGTGTGGCAGGACCCTGAGGCCTCCAGCAGGGGGCCTCTGGGCATAGTCCACCCCATCAGACTCCTCATTGCAAAGAAAAACTTTCAGCTGTGAATCAAGTGTAAACTAATGCAGTCATATCTTCTGAAGTCTGCAGCCAACTCCAATGGTGCTGCTGAAAGTTTTGCCAGACTTCAGCACTGTGAAAACTAATAGGTCTTGTCTGTTTTCACTGTTACTATTGGGATCCCTTTGGACAGCAGTGAAATTAAGAATCAAGTCAGATTCACTCAGCTGTTGTCTGAGGTAGTTGTGAACAACAGTGGAGGCAGGCACTGGAGTTATTGACTAGGGAAATGGAACCTAAAGGTGAGACTGATGGGAGGGGTTGTAAACCCCTCTTTGGTAGCAGCCAGAAAGTTGAAGGAAGGATAAAGTAGCAAAGACACTCCACTCAGATCTTCCTGAAGGCTGGGGAAAGGTTAATGTAGCAGAGACCCACCCAGTGTCATAGTAGCCAATGAGATGTGGGGAATAGAGAGACTGTTCAGTCTCCTTTCCAGCATCCAGTATGGGACAGATGATGGCTTTAAATGTATCATATGTACTAGCTAGAGGCTGGTATGGAAAATTGAGTACCCAAGCAGCACCCTGGTAGAAATTCCAGCACCATCCCATTTTCTAGTAGCTTGGTGGGGGTACAAGGTGGGGATTGACTTCTTGCTTAGACATTGCCCCTTGCCAGTAATGTCCACTATCTTTCATAAGTTTGGGGCTATTAGGTTTAGTCCTCTGGCTATTAAATTCCTAGTAAAATTTTCAAGCCCAGTGTGTATGTGTGTGGGTGTGTATGAAATTTCAGAGGGAAAAATGACAAAATATAGGGAGAAGGTAAAGATAAGATAGGGGGCGGGGGAAGGATTTTGACACTGAAAACAAGTCAGGGAAACAACACACGATAAGAAAAGAACAGAAAATGGAAGAAGAGAAAGTAAGTATAACAAAATAGTAGTAAGCAGGGCTTATTGATTAGTATTCAGTGATTATTATTCACTGTTCACTGTTGTTTGTCAAACTGTATTGGATAATTTGTTTATTTGACCAGCCTTAAGAATGAGATACACTTTTAAAACATTTATTAGATAGAAAATTGATTATTATGGTGACAACATATAACTGTTCTTTAAACTGCAGTGGATATGGTGGAACAACTATATTTCACCTGGCTAATATGTTTAAATCATCTAGGTAAGAGGGGTCAGCTAAATTTTCAAACCCTGCCTCTTAAGTGGATTAAATGCCGATGTATACCTTAGCTTCTGTTATAAGGAACTGTTTTTTTAAAAAGTATAGTATACTTTTCTTAAATTGTCTTTTTAAATTTGTGTCTTTTAGGTATGCCCTAGTAGATTTTGGTTTGGCACAAGGAACCCCTGATACGAAAATAGAACTACTCAGAGTTGTCCAGTCTGAAAGCCAACAGGAAAGTTGCTCACAAAATAAGCCTCACCTAACCTTGGGAAACAGGGTTTCTGTCAATGTTACAGCATCTAGACAGATAGCTCAACAGTCAGCCTCAAAAACATCTGATAAATGGTGCTGCTCGCTTTCACAAATGCAGATTAAACAAGGAAAAGAAGGAAAGGTTCTGAGTCTTTTTTCACTAATATTGCTGCATGAGTTTATTTAATGTATTACTTCATCCAACAGGGGGAGATGTAATACAAAACAATTTGTCAGTCTCCAATTCCAAATCTTACTGTGTGTGCACTTATGCAACATGTTGGAAACATTTTGTAAGAGTTAAACTGTTTGTGAAAATGGAACTAGTTTCTGAATAACTACGTTGGCCTTGAACATTACTTCACATTCAATGTCTACTATATCTAAAAATAAAAATAGTGGATTCTTATGTAATGTTGCATGCTGTGTAAAATGCAGTAATGTTTGGTGAGCCCCTGAATTTCCTTATGGAAAAAGGAGTTAACCTTTTAACAATAGATACCATGGCTTCCCTCCCCACAGAAAGTTTCTCATCTCCATTTTAGTTGCACATCAAAGTACAACTGCTGTATGTGTAAATTTCAGGGTGTCTTGGCATATTTCTGGAGCGTGATGTGTTTTGTAAGCACGTTTATGGTTTTGTCTAGACTATGTTGTCTTCATCCACAGTAAGCTGGTGCCTGAAAACGACTTGCATGCAGCTGTTTTTGCCTTATGTCACATCACACTTTTAAATACTGTCAGATTACAGCTGACAGTGTTACAGATAGAATGCTTATTGTCCTTTTTTGTTGTTGTAGGAGGGGTCTGCGCACCATTCTGTCCAACGCTCTGTCTTTGGAGAGAGAAATTTTAATATTCATAGCTCCACATACCATGAGAGCCCCACAATAAAAGTAAGCAATACTGCTCACCAGGAACACAATCAATTATACATTTAAATAGTTGTGGAACTTAACTGTGTTTCAGTACTAGATATCCCTAACTACTATTTGTGATTTGTTGTGGCACTAATAATTATTGAACAGAATTGGCATTTTAGCAAAGTCTTACATTTACTAAAGACTAAAGTGATTTTTTCAAGCTATTGAGTGACAGTAGTTACTGTTATGGTCTAGCTGTTGCCCCATCTGATTTTGTTTATATAGTAATTAATCTTTTTCTATCTGTGTATCTATGTAGTTTAGAAATTATTCCAAAAACTTGCTTTTGTGTTCTGCAGTTGATAAGGGTACAGAGAAAACAGACTAAGTTTGTAATAAACACTTTTACTATACTGTTTATAATCAGGGCATGATGTCTAGTGAAAAACTAGACATTAGAAAGAAAAACCCTAACTATGAACAAAGGCAGAGGGTTTGGCCAACAGTGATATTTTAACTGGGCAGTTTTGGCTTTGAAATAATGTAACCAAATAAAAGCATCTCACTCACTTCTTACAGTGTTTTTCCATTCCCATTTTTGCATAGTCTCTTTTTTTAATTAAAAAAAGAGAAAACCCTAGCCAATAACTTAATTACATTATACTGGTAAACACAATATTACTGTAATTTCAAAGTACTTATGAATATATTGTGGATATTAATTAGTAGTAGTCACTGAAAAATGTCTAATTTCCCAGGAAAATCACCACTAATTTTACGATTCTTCAATCCCTTGCTACTTTTATTAGCCTTTGAGTTATCAGTAAATAGTACTGGTGGTCTCCTCTTTTAAAACTGGTAACGTTTTTGTTAGTGCTTTCAACACTCTAATGGAAGAGGAAGCGGAATAATGAAGCAAAATGGAAATAGCGTTTAAATATTTGAAATATTTAGAACATGTAACATCTATATTACAGGTCATAAAGCAATCAAAGGTGATGGATGTTGCATCTAGAAAATTAGCAACAAAGAAGATTATTTCTACAAAAGCAGTGAACAATGGTGTAGCCAGGAAAGCTGCCAACAGTTGCACAGCTATCTTGACCTGTGACTGTTATGCAACAGATAGAGTTTGCAGTGTTTGCCTTTCAAGGTAATTTGCTTTTGATGATTTTGTAAAATCAACTTCTGTGCTGTCAAGCAAGGTTAGAAAGTTAGATTTACTGGACAGTTGATTTAGTAAGTGAAAGATAGCATTAGACCTATGCAAGTTACAAGTATTAGAACACAATGTGTATTCTAACCTGACAAAGGTCATGGATTTCATATGGTACTCACTTCCAGTGCTAACTTTCTCATTGCAGATAAATGCAATTATTTGTACTTAAAACAGTTTGCTATTGAAAGAGTTTTCTCCGTTGGATGTTAGTGTATAAAGACTGTTTCTCTAAGACGTGGGGGACTTTAATTTTAGTAAGATAAAATACCTTAACAATTCTCTGCATTAAAATCCTGAAATGGGTTTGTGACAGGCCTTCTTTACACCTAGATGGGTTTTCCTATATATTTTATATATGTGTGTGTGTGTGTGTGTGTGTGTGTGTGTGTGTGCGCACACACTCCCCACCCCCCCACCCCCCACCTCCTACAGCAGTTACCCTTCCCAATGGAGAAACAGTTTGTAAGGAAAGTGTAGGTCCACTATTGCAGGGAAGGAATGCTAATAACGGATGACATCAAGAAGGATGAAGTGTTCATTGCCTATTTTGTTTCAGTCTTTGCTAAAACGGGTTAACAAAGAGGACCCAGGGAATTATAGACCAGTCAGCCTAACTTGGATACCTGGAAAGATACTGGAACAAATGATTCAATCAATTTATAAGCACCTAGAGAATAACAGGGTTATAAGGAATAGCCAAGATGGATTTGTCAAGAACAAATCATGTCAAACCAACCTAATTTCCTTCTTTGAGTGGGTTACTGGCCTAGTGGATTGGGGGGGGGGGGGGGAGAGAACAGTAAATGTGATACCTTGATTTTTAGTAAGGCTTTTGATCCCACATGACATTCTCACAAGCAAGCTAGGGAAATGTGCTCTAGATGAAATAACTGCAAAACTGGTTATCAGAATAGTTATTGATGGCTTGGCGTCATACTGCGAGGGTGTATCTAGTGGGATCAGTCCTGGGTCTGGTACTAGTCAATATTTTCATTGAAGACTTGGATAATGGAGTGGAGAGTCCACTTATAAAATTTGTGGATGATACCAAGCTTGGAGGTATTGCAAGCACTTGGGAGGACAGGATTAGATGCAAAACAACCTTGATAAATTGGAGAATTAGTCTGAAATCAACAAGATGACGTTCAATAGAGGCAAGTGCAAAGTACTTCACTTACGATGGAAAAATCAAATGCACAACTACAAAATAGGGAATAATTGGCTAGGTAGTACTGCTGCTGAAAAGGATCTGGGGGTTATAGTAGATCAAAAATTGAATATGAGCCAACAATGTGATACCGTTGTGAAAAAGGCTAATATCATTCTGGGATGTATTAAGAAGAGTGTTGTTTGTGAGACATGGGAGGTAATTGTCCACTCTACTTTATACCTCAGCTGGAGAACTGTGTCCACTTCTGGCTGCCACATTTTAAGAAAGATGTGGATGAATTGGAGGGAGTCCAGAGGAGAGGAACAAAAATAAGATTTTAGAAAATCTGACCTATGAGGAAAGGTTAAAAGGTCTTGAGGAAAAAACTGAGTTGAGGATCTGATAAGTCCTCAAATATGGTAATGTCTGTAAGGCCTGTGACAACTTGTTCTTCATGTCCATCAATGCAGGACAAGAAGGAAGTAATGGGCTTAATCTGAAGCAAAGGAGATTTAAGTTAGATATTAGAAAATCCTTTTTAACTCTTAAGGGTAGTACAGCTCTGGAATAGGCTTCCAAGGGAGGTGGTGTAATCCCCATAATTTGAGGTTTTTAAGAACAGGTGGACAAACACCTGTCAGGGATAGTCTGAGTTTACTGGGTCCTGCCTCAGTACTTGATGACTTCTTGAGGGCCCTTCCAGCTCTACAGCTTTATAATTCTATGATTTTACCAGCAAAAGAGTTATTTTGGCAGTATAGCTTAAACCAGTTCCCCAAACAGAATAAGCTAAACCAGGAAGAGGATTTTTTCTTGCAATAACTGCATCTGCACTAAGACTTTGCTGGAATAGCTATGTCTGTTAGCTCTGTGACTTTTCACATCCCTAACACACATAGCTATGCCAGCAAAACTTAAATGTAGGCCAAACCATATCGTTTGACTCTTCCAGGGACATTTATTTAAAAATGAACTGAAATGCTGTTCAAAAAACCCCCAAAACCTGAAAATGTAGAATTGTTTAACTTCTTTATTCATTTATGAAAACTTTACATCTTAAAACCAAACATTTGAAAAATGTAGGCACTACTTAGCTAAGCAGTCAAGATTTGAATTCAAGGTTCCATATTTCTCTTGCGAGAGTCAGTCATGTCTTCCATTTATTGTAGATATTTCTAGGCACCTACAAGAACACTGAGTAGTCTTTAAGTGCTGTGCAAGGGAAATAGAGAACCATGAACTCAGGTCTTGGCAAGTAAATAAGAGGAAACATTTTTGTTAAACAAATTTAATTTGTATCTGAAAACTTACACTGTGTGAACTGTTTCAAAAATAGCAATACCACATCTGAAATTTGTCACTTTTTTCATTTGAAATTTCAACAAGATCTAGGATTTATAAGGCATTTTGGTTGCCCTTTAACATACTGTTTTCTGCACATTTGGTTGTTCATCGCTAAAAGGAAAACTGTAAATTTGTCTTGTAGCCTAAGACAGGGAGGGACGTTAGGTTTTTACCATTTTTTCTCTAGACATGTGTAAGTAAATTGTAAGGACATTTATCATGTACACGCCTTAATAGTCAGACTGGCCAAACAATTTGGCATTTCAGTTCAAATCCATCCCATATGTGGCGTTAACTTCCATTCATATGAGCCATTCCTCCATCAGGGATGTGGGTTATTCCAACAATTCTTTGCATTAATGAGAAAGTTCTGTTTACTGGGTGTGGTTTCCAAAATACTATGTGTTCCCTTACTTCCTGGTCTGATGTGACTGTATTTGACATTTAATCTTGTTAGTCAAACATGCCACTTTTACTGAGTGTGGAGTATGAGGGGGTTGAAGTTACTAATTCAGAAAACAAACCTGACCCCTGCAAGCCAGATAGGGCTACATGGGGGACACTCAGAAAGTTTAAGATGAATTAACTAAATGTTTATATGTGCTTTAACTTCGTACCCCTGTGCGGATGCTCTCATTCAAAAGTAAAGTGGCCTTAAGCCATGTGCTTTAACTAAAAGTGTGAAGTTAATTCATCTTAACTTTTCTGAGTGTCCCCATGTAAGCCAGCCCTTAATAGAAATCATGCTGCAGCTGAATGGAACTGAAAACATTATCCTGATTGAAGCATACAACTTATTTGTGTACTGTTCTCTCACCCTAAATATTGTGTGTATTCAACACATTTAATATTGCCTGTTTAAAATGTTACTACGTGACCAAACCACAATGTTGACATGTCTCATGGAAGCATATGTTAGAAATGGTTTTAAGTCTTCTGCTGTAACTAGAAACATTATGAATTGTTTCCTATTACACTCTAAATACGCTTTTCTTTTTTATTACAAGACGTCAGCAAGTTGCTCCTAGGGCGGGTACACCAGGATTCAGAGCACCAGAGGTGTTAACTAAGTGCCCTACTCAGACTACAGGTAGTATGCATCAGACTGAAATTAGTGACTCTTCTACACTTGGGTCTTCCCCATTTGTGCATATTACTTTCTCTGATTCTATGAACTCCTTTTCTGTTTACATATGGAATTCATTTTATTGTCCTTTCTAACATTATTCAAGCATTTCCTGCGTTGTGTGGTTTTTGTTTGTTTTTGGGTGTTCATTACTCAGAATGAAGAACAAGTTAGGAAAGTTTTTAAAATGTTAAACTTGAATACATCTTAATTCATTTAAGGTAAAGAGCCATATGCAGCAGTTCAGTAGAGTTTGTGTTTTTAAAAAGACAGAACTTTCAGCTTTGTCCAACGTTTTGGCTTTGTGTCAATTTAAATGTTCTGAAGTGCCTTTCTCTCCTCGCCCCTCCCCCCGCCCTGTTTATACTTTAGATGCTTTCAAAGAGAGATTCTATCAACCAATGTGCTTTCAGAGCAAGTATATTAACACAGTATGTCTGCAAACGTATTCTTAAAAGACCACAGGAAAAGCTGTTATAGACTACTTGATCTGTGCAGGCATCCAGAAATCAATGGATGTGAGATGAACAGCCTTAATAAAATTAATATTTGAGTAATCAAGATTGCTTCTGAACAGGTTCCTCCGATCTCTAAAACTCTTACTTCTGGATAGAAAAGTCAGGGTTCAGACTTCATAAAGCTTTCCTTTTTTCTTATTGAGATGTGCACTTGTATTAGGTTGCCAGTTAAAACATACACCCCTTTTTGAGTTAAAAAAAATCTAAAGCTAAAGACCTCAATAGCCTAGTAGTTCAAAGTGAAAAAGATGGTTAGTCTATCAGCCACATAGCTGATGTAGATACTGTGGAAAGCAGTGTGTTTGTGTGAAAAATGAGACTAATAAAAGGCAGTAGTCAGTGGAGTAGTTGAAAGTTATGATACATGAGAAATATGAAGAAATGCAAACACTCAAATCATGGATTAAATCATTGAGAGAAATGAATTTTAAGGTTAAAGCATGAGGTTGGGAGATATGCATCCTAATCCTAGTTCTTCCAGACTTATTTTTGTGGCCTAAGTCACTTAAGGCGGGATCCACAAAGATATTACATGTTGTAACGCTCATTGTTGCAACACCTAACCCCTACGTGCCCTGCTGCCTAACCCCTCAGCCCCATGTTAGGCACCAAGCTGAGGAGAGTTAGGCAGTTAAGGGAGGCATCGTCAGAAGCCAGCAAACTGTAACCCAGAGTAAAAAGCAGAGGTCAGGGTGGGCCTTAGGCCCAGATCTTCAGTGGTATTTAAGCACCTAACTCCCATTGATCTGGGCCTTATGTGCTTGACTGACAGGCCCAGAGGTAGGCACCTCCCTCCACCTGGTATCCTCAACCATGAACTTTCTCCTGGAGTTAGGTACCTAAGTAGCTCACCTGGCTCAGATATCCAATGCCCTAGCAGCTGAAACCCAGGCTTTTCATGTTCTCTCCACCCAAAAAAAAGACATCTTCTGGAATACCCAATGACCTGGAGGTTAAGACACTAATTTGGGTTGTGGGTTCAAGTTCCTGCTTCAAGTCAGGCAGTGCAGGGACTTGAACCAACATCCCATGTGAGTGCCCTAAGCAAACAGACACACGTGCCAATCTAACCTATTGGAACAGTTCCACTTTGTATTAAATAATCATTGGGACAGGTATTTGGATGTGGGAGATCTGGGTTCAATGTGAATGCCCTAACCATTTGGTTATAGTCAGTATTGCTCTCTGAATATTTATTTATACAAAGAGCAACAGTTTCAACAGGAGAGATTCCCACACCTATATACCCAATTGTCTTGTGGTTAGGGCACTCACCTGAGATATGGGAGAGTTGGGTTCAAGTCAGGTCCCTCACATCCCAGCTTAGTATTCTAAGCAAACAGACACACATGTGCCAATCTGCAGGGGAATGCCTAATTTGAGAATGCTGTTTCATGGCTTGGTTTGAGCTAGGGCTTGGATTAGCTTGTTAATTTAGTGGTGGCATCAGCACTTAACTCTGCAAATGCTGACCTGTGGAAATTTAGTCATCTACAGGATTAGACAACAGCTGAGTGGCAGTTTTGAGAATGTCAGAGGCACCTAAATTATGGACATAGATGCCTAAAGAGGCAGTTAGGCACTTAAATACCTCTGTAGATCTAACCTTTAATGTCTATGGCTCTGCTTCCCCATCCATAAAATGAGGCTAATATTTAACTACCCTACAAGGGTCTGATGCTAACTTCATCAATGATTATAATTTTGAGATCCTCTATTAGATCCTGCAGAAGTGCAAAGTACCACTTTGCAACTGTGTGCCCATAATTCCATCTGTTTAGCTATTTCTTCATTAAAGAGTAACTACTAGTTTGACAATTTCAGGTAACTTAGCACTTTACATATTCAGAGCTCTGAGTCTACGTTTGTAAGTGAAATAATTAAATTCAGATGTTTATAATTCATTCTACAAAAAAACTTATTTTTTATTTTTTATTTATTTTGTGGGGGGAAAAATTTGAATTACCTTGGCCTTTTAAAATAAATAAATAAAGACAAAAGCTGTTCCTTTTTTCTCTCGAAAACACACACAGAACTGTTAACCCCTCTTTTCCTTTCCCCACCATCCCTCAAAAAATGATGGCAGACAGATATTTTCATAACTCTAATGCTGAAAGTTTCCATCATGTTTGGGCAACTTTCCCCAACACACTATTTGTACTCTTCATAAAACTCTGAAAATGATTAACAACTCCTAACTGCTATATTTCTTAAGGTGGTTACTTTGTCAGGTGATTTCAGGTTAGCGGTAAAGTCTTCAGTATGATAAATCCATTTGGAATTGCCAAATAATCATCCATTGTTACAGAAAATTAATTACTTCAGATATTTAATTATTTGGAATTAGTGCTGGCTGTATATTTTAACCTTCCTTTTCCCTAGGCAAATTTTTAGGTAATCTCTAGAGCATGTATTATTATTAAAACACTTTAAGTTAATGGCTATTGGCAAGCATTGTAATCCACCAGCCTAATAAGCTTAGTACTGGCTAGAGCTATATCTGCATACTGTGACTGAATGCTTAAAACTAGCATCAGATTAAGGCCTTGATCCTGCAAATACTGAAGTAAATTCTAACTATACTTAGTGGTTCCATAAAAGTCATAAAAGACTATTCATATGGGTCAAGATATGCACGTGCTTACAGGACTGGGGACTAAAGGCTTGTCTTCACTACCATTAGGGTTAGTCAACTTAAGTTGCACTACTTCAGCTACATCAGGGGTTCTCAAACTGGGGGTTGAGGTTATTACATGGAGGGGAGGAGGAGGGATCACCAGCTGTCAGCCTCCAGCATTTATAATGGTATTAAATATATTTAAAGTGTTTTTTTAATTTATAAGGGGAGGGGTCGCATTCAGAGGCTTCCTATGTGAAGTACAAAAGTTTGAGAACCACTGAACTACGTGAATAACATAGTTGGAATCGACGTAGCTTAGGTTGATTTACCCCAGAGTCTTCACTGCGCTGTGTTGACAGGAGACACTCTTCGGTCAACTTCCCTTACTCTTCTCAGAGAGGTGGATCGGACTTGACCACAGAGCACTCTGCCATCGATTTAGTGGGTCTTCACTAGACCCACTAAATCGACCACTGCTGCATTGATTGCAGCAGTAGTGAAGACCAGCCCTAAAACTGGTTTTTAGGGCTGGTTTTAACTTCAACTTTAACCATGTAGATTACATTTCAACAAAATTAATAGGTAATTCATTGCATTATTTCTTTTGAAACTTTGCTGGTCATCAGGGGTTTTTTAGACTCTAGATGATAAAATTGTGGGGTTTTTTTTACTAAAAACTTGCTTTCAATTGCAGCAATTGATATGTGGTCT